TGTCTTTATTTTAGTCACCTAGTTGATTCAAACAAATATTATAAGCTTCTTAATCGCAAATAACAAATGGAGATCGGTAGGAAAGGCAAAAAAAGTATCATGAGTCCATATGACTTGTGGGTAATATTTGTGTGAGGAATATACTGATATTGATATTGTTATTCACTGATAATCTGCCTGTGACAGTGCTCTCTAATATAATTTGAGGGCTCATCACATCATGATCAGTCACGTGATACACAACAACCAAAGTCGTTTGGCAACATGGAGGTGAGGGAATGACGGAAAAATGTTTATACTTATTTTTATGTGAACTATCTGAAGCAACCCAGCTAAATTTCTGCAGCTAACTACTTGCAGCAAACAATAGCACATGCTAGCATGCTAAATGCAGTATTTCCTACCATGAATTGGGCAGGTGAGAGTCTTGAGGAAGAAAAGCCTAGTCACTCCACTAACATTTACAAAGCATGCTGGGAACTAAAAATGTCCCTACTCGGTTTCGAAAATGCTACACTAATAACAGAAATTTCTGTAGCAAACGTTTTAAGTAAACTTCTATTGTACAGATTTAAATAGAGGGTATACAGTATAATTGTGACGCATGTTGTGTAAAATATTTTTAGAAAGCTGAGCAAGAAACAAACATCTACTTAGGTGTATACGCTCTGTCTGATGTGTATGTAAACTGTAAGCTACTGATTAAAAGATATTTTCTCTTTTTGGAAATTTTTGCAAAATAAGTGAACAGTTTTCTATAAAAGTCTTTTATATGACCATGCAGCAGGTACAAAAAGGACTCACAACACAGACACTCCATTTCCAAACTACTAACAGAACAATATATCACCCTCTCTCAGCACCTATCAGAGGAAAGGCCTGCTGTGATTTTTTTAACTTCCTGTTCTTAATCCTTTTTCTTTTATTCTGTATGCACCCTGTCTTCAACTAGCAAGCTGCGACCTGTTCAAATATTACAGCATTGCAAGCCCCAACATGCCAAAGCCTATTCATTCGATGCTAAGAGATTCTCTTCCTACCACTTGCTCTCATTCATGCATCTTTTCAAAAAGAAACTAATGTATTTTATTGTCTCCAACTGTACCGTTCTTCAAACATCTACATATATGAAACAATCCTCTCCTGACCAAAAATATGACTTTACGTGCTTATTAAACTATTTCGATTTTAGCTCTTTACTAGCCTCTGTTCTACAGAACACACATTTTGAATCAAAGGGAAGCTTTCAATAACCTGTTTCTCCCTGAGCAGCAAAGTCATTTGTGTGGCTCCATTGTGGTGGCTTAGCTCCATTAACCCGCCGCCTTCTGCCCCACATCAAAGCCACGTCTGACATATGGATTATGAGTGTAAAAATTACATTTTTGAAATATGTCACTCACTATCTACCATTCACTGAGTTTTGCTCTGGGAGTGGACAGCATTAATGTTTCATGTTTTGAAACATCATTCCAATTTAAAATAACCATCAGTTAAAATAATTGTTTCTATTTTAATATATTTTAACATGCTGAATTTTCAGCATCCATTACGCCAGTCTTCATTGTCACATGATCCCTCAGAAAGTATACTTAAAAGCAGATTTGGTGCTCAAGAAACTGTTATTATTATTAGTATTATTATTATTAGTATTAGTATTATTATTATTATTATAAGCAGATTTAGTGCTCAATAAACTATTATTATTATTATTATTATTATTATGTTGAAAACCAGTGTGCTGCTTAATATATTTGTGGAAACTGTGATAAGTCACTTTTGATTAAATTGATTGATTAAATGCATCCTTTCTGGGTAAAAGTAATAATTTTTCTTTCAATAAGAAAAATAATATCTTTATATGTCAATGGAAAGCTTATTTATTCAGATGTATAAATCTCAATTTCACAAAATTGACCCTTATGACTGGCTTTGTGGTCCAGGGTCATATATATATATATATATATATATATGGGGATATTTTAATTAGAAAAACATTAATGCTGAAGAAATCTTGAATTAATTTCCGTTTATTAGGATCAATTTACTCCGGTAATTGCTTTAACATTAGCAGATAATTGTCACATACATGGCCCTCATGTTTGCAGTTAAAACACTAAATTGCTTCAACAGATGTGAGCCTGACCTTTGTTCCACTGAAACAAGCTAGCTGCTTTCAAGTATCTAAGCGATGTAATGCACACTATACTGACGTGTCTAAATATAACTTGAAAATAATGACAAAACGTTATAATCATCACGACCAACGTAATTATTATCACAACTGCTCCTATAACTGGATTAGGAGAGCTGTTGTCCAACACCAGCTGTTGTTGGACTACAATCACCTGTTGCTCATAAAAGTATTTTGGAGATCCTGTGGGTATCCGTTACACATTATACTGGCAGCACGTGGTAAAAATAACTAAGAGGGCACTTTTAAACTTGAAGGTTAGATTAGCATTTGTACCGATCAGCAGACAACTGTTACTCTTTCACAACAGGACCTCATGTCTTTTCAACTCGCACAGAAAAAGGCCTTTGGAGCTCTATGATTTTCCTCTGGAATCACTTTGTTAAGAGTTATTTAAATGTATACTTTAGCTCGATTCTCTCAACAAAAGAGACCAAAAGAAATTCCTTGAGTGTTTTACAACTCAGGCAAACTCTGCTAAAGCACTTAGGAGATGGCTGTGTATTTAGACTGGCTAATTTGAATTCCTGATGCACTGAGAAAAAAGGCAAGCCCTTGCACCTGTTATGACTACACTTTCCATGTTGCTTTAATAGAGGCATTCAAAGTGTATTTCCAGATAATAACTGTACATGATGCATTGAGATGTTTTGTGCTCTCACACTGTAGCTCTGGTGTTCTTAAACATCTCCCTCGACACGTTTTGAGCAACAGATGGCAGAAAATTGGCAGAATTGTAGCAAGAAAAATCAGAGTCTCTCAGCATGAATGTACTGTGTATATGAACACCCAGTTGAATATTGCACCAAAATATGCACATTTTTTATTTCAGGTAATTATATGGATAAAAAAAAACATTTTTTGTAGCAAGATCTCCTCAACTAAACTCTTAAAAATAAAGGTTATTGGCATCTTTGATTTCATGAAGAACCTTTAATATCCATGGAAACCTTGGTAAAACTTTTATAGAGACAAATTCTCACTATTAGTTAGTTTCTTATTAGCATGCCCATTATTAACATATAACATAACGCCGACATCGTACGTCATCCTCCCAGAGCTGCTTCCGTGTACAACTGTTGGCGCAAGCTAGATTAAAAACACCCCACTGACTGCCATTAAACAGCTTGGAAGATCAAAGTCAATTTTAATATAACTCCGATTGGATTCATCTGAAAGACGCCTAGGATGGCTTGAGGGTGAGTAAATAATGGGCTAATTTTCATTTTTGGGTGAACTATCCCTTTAATGGTTTGTTAATAGTGAGAATTGGACCTTAAAATAAAGTGTGAACGAAACTTTCTATTGCACAAATGGCTATTTAGATTATAAAATGTTCTTCACACTGCCAATAAATAAATAAAATTATAGTTAAGAATTATTTAAGAATTGCTCATTGAAAGGGTCTTTGGGGAACCCAAATGGCATTACTACCAAAAACTGAAGAAAAAAAATAAAACTGAATAGAGATGTAGTTTTAGACCTCACCACGGGCTTTAATAAAATGCTATAAAAAATGATGGATATGATGAAAGATTGTCACCATGCTCCCTGTCCACCTGTCTGACAATTGAGTGCGGATTATAGCAGAGCATTCTGGGAATGCAAATCAGAACCTCTTCATACCCATTAAGTCGAGCAACAGCTTCAAACGCCAATTTGTTCTGCAAATAGCCCATTCAGTGCGGGCCCAAAAAGCTGCAACACCTTTCTCTCCCCCTGCGGTAATTGAATCTTCAAAGGGGCATTTCCACCCCGTCCTTGTCAGGGACCGTGGAATGAATAGCACGTTCATATGAAAAGAAAAGAAAGTATACATGTTTATCCATGTTCAATTAGCCACCCCGTCATCTGCATTCATAATTACGGCATAAGAACATGGACAAACACAATTAAGGGACAGAGAGATGGCACCGTATTTAGGAAGGTTCATAAAAAAAAGCAGTTTTGCTAATGAGCTCCGTTCTCAAGAGAAACTCGACAAGATGAATTACTGAGATCATACAAATCCTTTGGTCTCCTGATGGAAAATTGGTTCTTTCAGATACTGTACATAATTCATATTGAGTGATTTCAGAGAAGAACACCTGCGAGAGATTTAGGACTAACCCAAGGTAAGTTCATGGCACTTGAAACACAGTCCACATACTTCATTGAGCATAAAAACAAACGTTCAGTTCAGCTGCCAGCCAAATTTCATATTGACACAAAAATGCAGTGAAAGATTTCAGTACAATTAAAAAAGGGATGTTTTTAATCTAATTTTTTATTAATTAAATACACCATATTGGAGCAAATGTCTCTGAAAATATCACAAATAGAATTCTCTCATTCTGCATTTATAGGTTGACAGCTATGAGCTTCATTTTTTTTGTTGTTGCGTGATTTCGGGTTGGAGGGAAAAGGGAATAGGGTTAGCTGCTGTGTGTAGTATGTACGGTAGCCACAATGGGACAAAAACATTTACATGCATACATACTGTACATGGTAGTTTTACAAATACACCAAGAGAGTTCATGATTTGATTTCCACAAAAAAGCCACGGATACTTCTTTGAACCCAGTCTTCAGGATTTTTATATCATCCGAAATGAATCACATTCCCTTTACAACATCTAAAATATAGAAAGAGAAAATACCATGTTGTGAAGAAAAGGAGAATAGACAAGGTAGGACAAAAATATAAAGGAAAAAAGAAAGTCAGTATTCCCCCACTACATTTTCAAACAAGTGTTATGAAAGCAGATTCAAAAATCGCTGCAGTGGATCAGCTTCATTTGTCATTTTAATTTAACCCTTTCTGTCTCTTTTTTTTTTTTTCTCTCCAGCTGGTCTCTCTCTGTGTCAGTCTTTGAGTCCCTCAGGATCAGAGGTCTCGCCTGGGTCAGTTCATAAGAGTCCTCAGTATTCCCCCTCCAGGGCCTCATGGGTATTTTCCATCCATGATTCAGGAGTTTGGAGTAAAGGGCAGGAAAGGGGGGCTCTGGCTATTGCAGGTCAAGGTGGAGCTCAAGCCTGAGATTGGCGCTCTGGTTCGGAGTAGCGGAACTTTGAGAAAAGGAGTGGGATGGGGTCTGATCCGAAAAGGTCTTGGGTGACAATGAGTGAGGGGCTGAAATGAAGGCACACATCCTGCTTTGAGCAACACCGGCATCCTAACACACCTGGAGGGCAAAGAGAGAAACCGGTTAGACACACTTAAACCGAAAAATACAATTACAACCAGTAAATGGGTCGATGACAAATTTTGTCAAAGTTGAAAAAATGAAAAATCTTTAACAAATATACTTTAAAACATAAAAAGTTGATTATATTATATATATGATTATTAAATCACTTTGAAAACATTTACACACTATTTAAAAAAAAAAACATTTATTCACTACATTTAATGAAAAAGTCATGTGGTGTAACTATATATTTTAACTATTTACAAATATAAATATAATAAAATATATATTCTCACTTGCCCTGTCTTGAAAAGGTCTAATTATCTGATATTATAAGAGACTTATTGACCTTTTTGGTTCTGTCTATGGTTTCATATCTGTTTTTTTTTTTTTTTTGGGCACTCTGGTCACACGACAATTATTAATACATGAAATATCGTTTTTTTTTTTTTTTTTTGGGCACTCTGGTCACACGACAATTATTAATACATGAAATAGATAAATTAATCTAATGTTCAACTTCTACAAAGGTGTATTCAAGTAACTGGAAGTATGAATGCCACTGACCCAAATTTAACTAAATGTCCATTTTGCTATAAACTACAGTCAGCAAGTTTTGAAAATGAAATTCTTAAAAATAAAAACAATAAAAAAAACTGTAGTAGTAACTAACAACTTGTCTTATAAAAAAAGTCATATAATACAGTAGCGTCTTTCAATGGGAGTCATAAAAATTGCATGTTCTCTTAAATAACATACTCCATTTCTATTGTCAAATGAAGACCGCCAGCTCTGCTAAAGCCCCCTGCTTAACTTATTGATCAGTAAGGCTTTCAAATCCATCTGCCGCCCTATTTCCTCTGCATTTTAAGTGCATATTGTAAAGTTAGTCTCTTTTTGTCTCATTTTTAACAATGATGTCCCCAGGGTGCTAAGTTCTTGCGCAGCCGAGACAATTATCCCAATATCCAAGTGCAGCGTTCCGCTTTCACAGACAGTCACAGCAAACTTTTTACCCCCTAACATTCTCCTTCCTTTTGTTTTTTAAACATTCTAGGGGGCAATTTGCTTTTCCCGTCTTACCTCAAGTTACTAAGGGGTTTCAGGCTACTGTAATAGTAATTGCGAGCCCTCCACGCCACCCCACATTGGAGGGCTAATTAAAGAGACGGAGGCTGTGAAGGTTTGGATCCCCTGGGTTCAGGCTCAGCATGAGAAAGGTAATTTGTCTGTCCTGAACAAAGAGATTAGGGAGAAGCCGGGGAGCTACTTAATAAATGAGCATCAAATGTCCTCAGCCGTGGACACGGACAGCACCAATTATGTCACCATGAAATTGCACATAATAAAAACAATGGCTGCCGGACGAGGCCTCCTATCTGTCTAGGGAAGCGTTCAGTCGGTTCTCTCTCTCACTCCTTTCTGTACTGGCTTGTTTCAGCTCCCAGCTTATTTCTATAGGTTCAGAGGAGAATTACAGCTAACTTCAAAATTTGAGCAAAGAAAACGCACCGCAATCTCATAAATTAGAGTTTCTTTAATAATAAGTTCCCTAATAATGATTTGAATCTCTCTGTACCAAGCGAAAACATGACTGTTTAAGTATCTCCTGAGGACACGTGGACCTTCTTCTGTTCCTGCAGGTGAAGAGGAGTGTCTGGGTGTATTTAAGAACTCTCTCTCCGCTATAATTAAAGCAGCGAGGCCAATATTCAGATTGCATTTTAGCATTAATAATTCAGCTGTTTTCACTACAATTGATGTCGGCACATAAATAAACAATGAGGCCTCATATTTACACAGCGGCAGCCGCCGAGCGAGAGCAGGGGAGAGGAAGGAGGAGGAATGGAAGGATGGGGGCTTAAAAAGACATTTAAAATTAAGCTTGATAATGCAAAGGCTTTCAATTTGAAATGCAACATGCTCTTGGAGCTAATTTGTAAAAGTGACGATGCCTTAAAAGGCCTCTAACGGAGCACCGAGCTTAATGGAGCTGTTTCCCCGCTCACTACGTCTCTCCTCGAACTGTTTTTTTCCCATTGAAGGTGAAATAAATGTTCACTAGGAAACTCGACAACTGTCCGATCTCTCTTGTATACGCTCTCACATCCCCCTTGTCTCCATATCAATACTGATTATGTGTCACTGAGCTGTTATTTTCAGTGTTGCCGAGTGATACAATCGGCTGGTGGCTGACTACACAATGAAGTCTTATTGCAGACGGTCCCAAAGGCGAGAAGGGGAATTAGGTAAATAATTTGCCTGCTTGGCGTCTGGGTTTGTTTATTTAAAGCTTGCTGTGCAGCGTCGGAGGAGCAAATAGTTAGGCAGAACTGTGGCGGTGAAAACAGAGATGAAAATGGGACAGAATGCTTGACGCCAGCTAGCTTTTTTGTAAAAAAAAAAAACAACAACATTAAACCAAACCAGATTAAGAAATGAAAACACGCCTTTTGTTGTTGAGCAAAGTGGGTGCCAGGGTTTCCCGTTATGTAATCTTATGGATGGCAAATGAACTATACATAATCAGTACTGAATGTGAATGTGTCAGGGTTTGGAAGAAGGAAATAATTTTCACCTTCCTTACCCATCCTGTAACTAAAAAGCTTGCGATAGTTGTGATCTCATTTCAGCAAGTTAACATTAATTGTGATATATTAGCTTCCAGCCAGGAAGAATTACACTTGTCCTCTAGACCTTATTATGGGTTAGGAGCACAGAATTAAATATGATACAGTTATTTTTCAATCTAAATAAAACAGAAATTAAAAGCAATATTTTGATTAGTGACTGACTGAATGGTGTGTTTTGCTAAAAAAAAAAAAAATACATGAAGTGATCCTGAACCTATAGCAGAGGATTTTAAGTGTGAAGTTTTGATAGCAGACAGATAGCGGCTCTCACTTTCTGGTCAGGCAGTAGAGGGTTAGTCTGCAGTGAACTCAAATGGCCGTTGATGAGTGCTGTGGGTCTGTCGTGTTCGCAGAACAAGCTGCCGTTGATGTAGTGAAACCTGTCACCAGGGACCAGCCGGTTCCGGCAGGTAGAACATGTGAAACACTGCAGGAGACAATGAAAAGGACTCCATTACCCACAATTCTCAGCACATCCCATCTCTGATCAATCTCTGGACAAGTTAAATCATTATCCATTGTCATTATTTCCTACAGGGATTCTACATGGGCATTTAACATAGATGAAAAGACTGACTAAAATTTAAACAATATTTTTGGTATCAATAATAGACTATTTTTTATAGAGAACCCCATCAAACAACCATTGAAAAGCAGACTCTATGGAGTGTGAAAGGATTCTGTAGTGCAATGAAGCATTTAATTCTAGAGCAGCCGTGGTCACTTAAAGATTAAAGGTTACCTTGAGATGGTACACGTTTCCCTGTGCCCTCATAACCAGTTCACTGGCTGGGATGGACTGACCACACGCACTGCACGCCCCACTGTTCCCAAATAACCTGTGAAAAGAAACAGAGACATGTTAGGATTGTCAAAATAAGAGACAAAGTGTGAGAGCTGAGTCTGTCTTAGAGTAAGCCTAAATCAAAACATTGTGAATGTTACAGCACGAATGTATCAGCGAAAAGTGGCAGAAAATATCATGAACAAAAATATCAAATATTAGCTTCAAACTAAATTATTCATTAAAATGTACAAATGAGGAAATAAAGGTAATTACGTGAGGGAAGACAAACATTATGACCATGACCAATATCTCCCTCATTGATATGATCTATTTTTGTTCACACAGTATGACCTGTGCAGACAAATTAAATCTTTCTGCATTAATAACTAAGGCACTCAATTTGCAAGTGATTTTTTGTCAATGACATTTTATAAAATATATTTTTAGACTGTTTTTTTAAATGAACTTCTTGTATGGCTTCAGAAGGTTTGGTACACTACCGTTCAAAGGGGTTTATGCTTTCAAAAGGTCTCTTATGCTCATCAAGGCTGCATATATTTGATCAAACAGTAATACTGTGAAATACAGTCACCATTTAACGGTTTTCTATTTATCATATTTTAAAATGTAATTTATTCCTATAATGGCAATGCTGAATTTTCCGCAGTCATTACTTCAGTCTTCAGTGTCAAATGATCCTTCAAAATGATTCTAATATGCTGATTTGCTGCTCAAGAAACATTTCTTATTATTACCACATCTGAAAACTTGCTGCTTACATTTTTTGGTGGAAACTGGAATGCGTTTTCAAGTTCAAAAGAACAGCATTTATGTGAAATAGAAATCTTTTGTAACAATATAAATGTTGATGAATTTAATGTGTCCTACTGAATAAAAGTATACATTTCTTTCACAAAAAAACTAAAACTTACCTACTCTAAACTTTTAAAAGGTGGTGTATATAGTGCATTAGGAATGTGGACTGATATTACAATACTTTGTAGTATTTTATTGCACTTTCTGGAGCTTGACAGTCATGGTCACCATCCATTCTCATTGTATGGAAGAGAGCAGCCTTAACATTTTTCAAAACTTCTCCATTTGTGTTCCACATTTGAAAGTAAGTCACATGGGTTTAGAACATGAGGGCGAGTAAATGACAATAAATGAGTTTGATTTGAAACAAAACACAACAGACATGCATAACACAAGGTCCTTATTAACACTGACACTAATTAATACTTCTGTATGCATCAAAAAGGTTTGTTAACTTGTTTGGCCTTGTTTTACTGTAACAATTAAATCCTTGCAAGGACAGGTTAAATAATTTCAATCCTGTGCCCGGGCCTCCTTTTCTCCCTCTCGCAGTCTCTCTCTCTCTCAAATGCACACATGCAGAACAAATTACATCTTCAATATTCTGATGTAGGAAAAATAAAATCATAGTAATATCGGCAAACCAAATGAAAAAAATCCTGCATCCTGTCCTCCAAAAGCCTCTGCCACTGGAACTAAGTATTACCTTTGGTATTCATTTTTTGCAACCTAATAATAACCTAGAACATAAGCAATCAGGGCCTAAGAATATTTGATTGTACATCTAGGCGGAGACACAGCGCTTTTGCCATTAGGACTCAAGCGAGTGCTCAGTCACTGCCGCCTTTCCATTAGAAACCCCCGGCTACCCGGGTTGATATATAATGTGCATGGGTTAACCTTTTCAATCATAGTGTCAACATTTTAGATTTGCTTCTGCTCATCTCTTTCGTCTCTATCCTTCCCTCTCTCTCCCTCTCTCTCTCAGTCTCTTGATAATGAAATGCTTGCTCCTGCTTCCTTTCTATCTGCCTTCTGAGTCCACAATTTAGATTACTTCATCTTGCCGAGCAACAAACTGAATGAAATTTCGATTTGAGCAGAAAGTAATTTACTGGGATCTGGACCCATTTGTCATCATATCTCACTGGCTGTTTGCTCTATCACTGCACTTTTCCTATGCAATCAAATAAGACCACAGCATCTGACAAGCTCCAGAGAGAGAGAGAGAGAGAGAGAGAGAGAGAGAGGAAGGGAGAGAGGGAAATATGAGGAAGGAAGCAAGAAAGAAAGAGACCGTTAGAAGGATAGAGGGAGGGAAATGGGGAACGACCACAAAAGGATAGAGAGGAACGTGATGAAGGAAACGTTGGGTGTCACAGCGTGTTCCTCGTGTACACAGTTACAGATTAACTCAAGAGTTCACGGATGCTTTCGTCCCCCAAGATACTTCCAACTCGTAAAACGATAAACGCGCATTGTGCGGATTCCAATATAACATCACGGCATGCATGTGAACGTGTGCGTTCCGACATCGAAACAGCTGTCACCTGCATACAGGTGTGGCGTTTATAGAGGGAGCT